ATTTAAGCTGCTTAAATTTATTCTCAGTTTTCCCAACATAATTTATTGTAGTACAGATTTTAGATTAGTTGCATTTTGTACAAACATTATGTTTTATGGCTTCAAATTGTTAACTTCTATAAAACCTTATTGAAAAAACCCAGTTTCGGTCAAAAGGAGAAGAGTGTAATGACAAGCAGACATTGATTGCTGTGGTCGGTCTAAATTGATGGGGTTCAAACATCTTTGAAAATGTTACTAACGCACTCAACAAAACCGTCAACTAAACGTCAAAAGGATCTTGTGTCAAGTAGCAGCGATTGTTAACGCTCCGTGGTTTAACATTTATATTGAAGGATTAAATCGCAACTAGTATCTTACTTCTCATCATTTCGCCCTACTAAAACACGACGTTTCGCGCAAAATGGCTATTAATGAGGTTTATGAATAAAGTGCTTCATTGTCAGCTTTCAGAATAAGACTACTCTGGATACCTGAGGAAGGGAGATCATGCATTTCCGATAAAACTGCAATCATAACAATAATTTTAAGAACAAGGCTACTTTTAGATATATCACACTTTCACCTTCCTTTTTAGTTATTATAGGATGTGTGCCGAGATTTGGCAATTATTTTGAATGGAGTTTTCGGTTCCCTCTTCCAAACAGTAAAATAACAAGACCTTGGACCACACAAATGGTTTTATAATGCGGCAGTCTTTTTGTTCTTACAAGGCTATTATCAATTTGATGCTCCCAAAAGGTTTGCTTGATTACCCACCTCGTTTCGAGTTATTCTCGATCATCGTTAATGGGCCCGAAACCTTTTAAGTAAGCAAAGCTAATGCCAGACTTAATATCCTCATGTAAGGAATTCTGCACTGTCTGTTACACGATCTGCCCCAGTATTCACTGAGGAGCAGCTAAAGTTGTGTTGGTTGAGGGAGGAAGTGGAGCAGATACCGAACACTAATGGCTCTCTTACCGCCTCGCACTTGGCACACTTCTGCGCGAACTTGTCCTCATAGCACTGCACGCAGATTATGTCGTTGCCACGGGGGATGAAGCTCTTGGCACCAATAGGTTGGTGGCATTCAGCGCAGAGAAAACACTCCTCATGCCATGCACCTCCCTTGTACTCGTACTTCCTCATTGCCGCCTTGAAGGTTTTCCCGCAGCCGTCGCATCGCGCCGCGAACTTCTCGTCAAAGCAATCGGGGCAGAATATCGCCTCCTCCTTCGTTGCGAAGGGCCGGTCGGCCAGCGAGGTCTTGCACTCCATGCACACGAAACATGCTTCGTGCCAGTGTCGGTCTTGAAAGGAGAGGTCCTACATATGCATAATTTGAAATCACTCTTTTAGGCTAAAATAACATCAGATTCCTTAAAGTATTTAGATCTCATCTGTCCTCAGTTATGGTTCATCTCGTTACTTTTCATTCCTGGCTTCATGGCTTAAGTGGGATCCACCATCCCATGACCTGACTAAAATGCTTGCTTCAGACTTAATTTATTGAGTTTTATGCTTGGTAAAAATGTCAATTTCAATATTTACCAAAATGAGCCGTAGTCCAGTACCGTAAACACTTCTCACCAAACACCAGAAGTCAATTTTATTTCATCTGTTTTAATTCTTTTTTCATTTGAGGAGAGCTGCTAATTTGAGGGCATCCCTAACCAATATATCTAAAGTCGGTTACCGAGTTATCCTTTTCACACTTATAAATCGTTGCCACCATTTATCGTAGACTTTGTAAAAGTAGTTAAAATTATTCTCTCGAGGTAACTTATTTGGCTTACTTAATCCAACGGTTTATGTGAATCTGTGCACGGGTCATTTTGAATGCCAAAATACCATATGGAGCTGGTTCACATCAAACGAAGATCAGATACGCCATTGTTCAATTTAGAAGAGTACGCCATGTTAGGCACCACCTCATTTGCTGTTTGATATAGAGCTAGTGTTTACATTGGTTCCAATTACGCTTTTGTATTGTCAACTGATGTATGCCATGATTTTGCATTCCCTTCGTAAAGTTTCTTATGTGAAGCACCCAACACATGCAAGTCGAGTCGAGGAAAGGCATACATTACACGCATATTTAGCGTTAATGCCCAGGACTACCCCATCGTACCTTTTACTTTGCTTACAGTCGATTTTTGGCAAATAGAACACCAGGTTGACGAAATAATGTGGTATAGTACAAAGATGCTATCAAGGCGGCATGCGTTTCGTTATAGTCAATTCGCAAAGCAGTCTGCGCCTTGGCTGTAATCTCTAGGAAGGGCGTTTTTTAGTAGCCTGAAGAATGGATACAAAATTTCGCTGTGAAAAATGCTATCACTTAGCTGCCTTTGTGTTTAGGTCGATTTGATTTTGAATACATTCTTTGTGTCCTTTTAGCTATAAATTTTAAATCTTGAAATTGTTACCATCCTTTGTGAATGTGATAACGAGAATTTGAATAATCGTGAACCTCCCAACTAAGCTGCCTATAAACAATGAACAATGTCCAAGAAGCTGTTCACTGCGTTTCATGACTCGGGTCTAACCCTGTACTTTACTGCAAAAGTACTATTTTTGACACACCCAAAACAACCGCTTACACTTGTCTTGGTTAGAAAAGGCTATTGCAATGCATGTTGGTTGTTTAAACCGTTCTTTGTAAGGGAGAGGCGCGAATTCAATTCGAATGTCGTATAGACAAAGTGCGAATACTCTTGCTTGGACTAGCACGGATACTATTTTGACACAACTTTTCTCCTTCTGCCGTAGCTCTCTTGGAATGCCGAATAAATCATTTTGGAATAATCCTCCACCTAAGAAGGTTGGGACAAAAGATGTGAAGAGCGGGGAGGAAGTTGTTACAACTACTTCTTATTCAAAATGGCAAGATTTGTAGCACTAATTCCATTACGATGTATGGGATGAGTGACTGCTTCAATGTTGCACTAAACCTGACACACCTCCAATTAAAAAGCCGATACAGAGCAGGATTTTCCTTATTCGCGTCTTCCATAGTGACGACAGAGTTCGGACAGTCGTTTTTCTTTTTGCACAACACAGGAGTTAAGAAGTAGTGGAATCGTACCTTAGAAGCTGAGGTTATCCTTTCGCCACAGGCAGCACATGTGTTGGTGAAGTTGGCATCATAGCAGTCGATGCAGTAGGGCTTCTCAGAATTCAGGATGTATCGCTGGCCCACCAGAGACTTTTCGCATTTCGTACATTGGAAATTCTCACCAGATTCTGCACCAGTCATTTCTAGCTTGATTGTACTAGGAGATAGAAAAGTGATTACCAGACGCTAAGTTTAACACCTTCCCTTCAGGGAATTTTATATATCCTTTCGTGCCAGCGTTTTGTCAATTGTTAAACTCCTCCAGTGATACCTAATTTTCTAGGCAGAGTCAGAAGAGTGCAAACCTTTAGATCAGAATGGAATGTCTAGCAGTGAATAGTATTACCCTCATTTCAAATATCCAGGCCATTTTCGTACAATAAACAAATATCGTTAAGACTTTAAGCTAACCACCATCCAATTGGATGGGTAACAACAAAGTCAAGTTTGTTATCGTCATCCCCATTGAACCGAGTAAAATTTCACCTCATTC